ACATACAGGCCCTCCATTGCATAACTTCCAGAAATTATCTCAATGAATTTTATGAACAATTTCATTAGTTAAATACAGATATATTGCAATCTTCCAAATAAAAATCTACATTTTAGGGAGACAAGATTTTAGCAAATGCAGACAGCTATAAGTGGTGGAGCCAGAGTTTCAACTCAGCCAGTATGTGACATCACACAGCTCATTCAACCTTGATCTTTTTTAATGCATTCAGAAGTTCCTCTGGCTTGGCTTCAAAAATGAATCAACATCTTTTTTCTATAATCTAGGTATTCAACCACACTAAAACCATTTTAATATTTTGTTGCCCATACTTCTTTCTCAGCGCAATTAGCATTTCCATTTTTTATTATGTCTTTCTTTTAGGAGTGTATACTTTATTTCTGCACATTCTTATATGCATATAATGAACTTTGATAATGGTTACCTTTGCATTGTCCCTCCCTTACCTTTTTCTGCCCTTACATTATTACTTTTCTGTTTTCTAAAAGTCTCCCTGCATGTTTTCATCCTTTTTTCTTTTTTTCTTTCTTTCTTTCTTTCTTTCTTTCTTTCTTTCTTTCTTTCTTTCTTTCTTCTTTCTTTCTTTTTCTTTCTTCTTTCTTTCTTTCTTTCTTTCTTTCTTTCTTTCTTTCTTCTTTCTTTCCCTTCTTTTTCTCTCTTTTCTTTCTTTCTTTCTTTCTCTCTCTCTCTCTCTCTCTCTCTCTCTCTCTCTCTCTCTCTCTCTCTCTCATTCCATAGATGAGAGAAAACATGTGATACTTATCTTTCTGAGTCTGGTGTATTTTGTTTAACATGCTGATCTCCAGTTTCATCTATGAAATTATGTTATTCATCTTTATGGCTGAATACTACTCTGGTTTGTGTATATACAACAGTTTTTATTTGTTCACACACTGATAGGTACCTAGGCTGATTCCATAGCTTACTTACAGTGAAATGTGCTAGAATAAACATGTTATACAGGTATTTCTATTACATGCCCCCTTTAATATTCTAATATATGCCACAATCTGAAAATGGATGGATCTAATGGTAGCTCAGTCATTCAGATTTTTGAGGTAATTCCACACTGATTTCCACAGTGGCTCTACTAATTTACATTTCCATGATCAGACTAGAGAGTTCCTTTTTCTCACATCCTTGCCTGCATTATTGTTGTTTGTACTCCTGATGACAGTGATTCTAACAGGTGTGGGATGGAATCACAGTGTAGTTTTGATTTGCATTTTCTTGTTTGCTAAAGATGTTGTACATATTTTAAATATTTATTGGATATCTCTATTTCTTTTATAGCTTTAATTTTCTTTTTCTATCTTTGCTTGGCTTTTCCATAAGTGCAAATTAGATGCTACTTCTTCCAGGAAACATTTCCTGAGTTTCCAAGGATAAGCAGAAAGTAAGATTGATGTCACACAAAATTGTCTTTTCCCGTCCAGTGGAATGAAATCAGAAATCAACAGCAGAGAGAATCCTGAAAAATTTACACATATGTGGATATTAAGGAATACTTTTCACACAACCAGTGCACCAAAGTAGAAATCATGAGGCCAGTTAGAAATTTAGATATGAAAGAGGGTGAAACACAACATTCCAAAACTTTTAAGATGAAACAAACTATGTTACACTTGCAGATGCTCAAATGTAAAAAGAGAGAGAAGAAAGAAAAAAAAGGAAAGGAAAAAAGAAGAAAAGATTTTAAATCAGGAAGGTGGTGTTAGTAAAATGGCAGAATCGGAGACCCCTCACAATCTTCTTCCAAAGCAATACTTTGGCAGCCGCTGGTAGATGGCTTGAGGAAGAGTTGTGAACGAAGTTGTAAAACCTCAACTGAGGCTAAGATCAAAGATGTAACATTTAAAACGTCAGGCCCATGTCCAGTTAGCTGCATCACTCTCCTTGGTACTAGCTACAGATGCAGAAACAGCCATTTCTCCATGGACTCAGTCCCATTTATGTATTATCAGGTTAATAATGTCCCTTAGTTATTGTGGGTTGATCAGGTCCACAATCTCCCAAACAAGTGAACAGCAAAGGCTAAATAAAAAGAGGTGAGTGCAGTGATTTCAGGGCTCCGAGAGGATCAAAGCCTTTTCACAGATTTTGAGATTCTCTAAAGGCTAAGAGCAGGAACTTCTCTGGGTGGTCCTGCCTGGCAAGGGCAAGGTCATGAGTTTGATTCCCAGTATCAAAAAAAAAAAAAAAAAAAAAAAAAAAAA